CATTGTTGATTTGAACAATCCAGTAAATTTTCCATGTATCTACTACAGTGTGCTCGCGGTGCGGAGATTTTGCGCTAAACATTGCGCGTGAACAAATAGCTGCGCCCGTAATGCCGGCCATCTGCGCGCGCAAAATACCGACACTATGCTGACGTGACTATTTGTTCACGCGCAGATTTGGTCGCCCAATCTCGATACCGTAGGCACGCTACAGTAAGCTTCAAAGCCTACTAAATTGTACATATTGTCGTATCCTATTACCTATTTAAAGGTACATTTTTGTGGGAGCGGCGAGTAGCAAAGAAAGTCAGCTGGTGGCCTTGAAGAAACGCTTACCTAATGTTGAAGTTCTACAGAGTAAGTAGCAGTACTGCTGCATAAGTAAAATAATTTTTGTTGAATTCTTTCAGTGTACGGCCTGACAGAAGCAGGTTTATTGATATTTCTGTCGCCTGTAGGAAATACAAAGCTTTCATCTGTTGGACGACCGATGCCTGGTGTAGAAGCTGTGGTAGGTACCGATTTTCAGAAAAAATCAAATATGTAATATTGCTTTCTGAATAATTTTAAGCTGCTTGATGCTTTCTCAGATCAAAGATTCATTTCTTATAGGTAATCGGAGAAAATAAAGAATGCCTGGAATGCAATGAAGTTGGAGAACTTGCACTGAGATCTCCATCAATGATGGTGGGATACTACGATCATAGCGAGTAAGTAAATCTTTATTTGATAACGGCCATCTTCTCTATAATTCCAAGCTGTTAACAATGTTAACCAAAAAAATCAACTATAAAATCGGCAACTTGATTTACGGCCTTTGCAGATCCATGAAGTGAATTAAAAAGTGAAAAATAATACGGATAAATGACTGTTCAAGAAAAGGAAAATTGTCTCCACTGCCCCACATACTTCTTTCAGTTTTTATTGAACAATCCGCCTTCGTAGCAAGTAATAACATCAAATATAAATTTAATGGCAGAACTCTCGAGAACGCTATCGAAAGTGCTCATCATTTTTAATTAAAAATTTGTAGCTTTTCCTTAATACGCGTCTCACATCAAGTTGCATATTTGAATTTAGTATCTCTTCCGAATTCTGACGAGTTGCTGATCTGCGTTTCATTAGCACTGTTTCCGAAAACCCATACAAAATTCAAAAGGAGAATTTAATTTGGATTTTTGCAATGGAACAGTTTTAGATTCACTATATCACGATGATTTCTTTTTCAAATCATCTTGACTATCATTATGATTTTGTTTTCTTTGTGACTTATTG